TGACTCTATAATTAGATACTCGTTGGTATGGGTTGAGGTATTTGATTTTCAGTGCTTGTTCTTGATTAACGTCTTATCCGATTAAGTTTTTTCATATACCCCGAAATAACTTTGATCTAAAAGTGTTTTCCGTGATTCGTTATACTCTATCAAGTTCTTTGTTAACGCTGCTCCGCAACGTTCTTCATCCATACAATTTCCAACAATCCCGACACATATCGGTGCTTGCATAGGTCTAGTGAATTGATATTGTAATTGTTGGCATATTTTTTATAGTAGTTTTGAAATGCATTGGTGTAGTGGTGTTCTATGTTTATTGTAGATTTATTTTTCCATTATTATGTATTGGTGAGTGTTGGTTCCCTTGTTGCGTGCGTGTTGTTAAATGTTATGGTGCATTACTGGTATTGTTTTGAGAAGCTCAATTTAAAATTTAATAAATATTTGTTTAAAAGGATAGTTGAGTTTTTCCGCAGCTGTGATACGGTATCATATCGAGATAGGGAAGGATTTCGAGCACCTTCGAGCTCCAAGAACAAAAGAGGCAAGGAAGAGAGAAAGATTAGGGTTTAGGAGAAAGTATTTTCTTTATTCATTGATTGATAAAACTATGGTGATGGATACATTTATAGACTCTAACTCTAGAGAATCTCAATAATAAATGGTAACTAAATAATTAAGAATCCTAATTATAAAAGGTAACTAAATAAACTATGAAACTAAGTAATCACCTAACAAATATATTATTCCCTAATAATAGTTAACTAACTATAAATAATTCCTTATCATAATAATAATAATAATAATAATAATAATAATACTAATAATAATAATGCTAATAATAATAATAATAATAATAATAATAATAATAATAATAATAATAATAATAATAATAAAGTCCCGTAACACTCTCCCCGCCTCGAAAACCAACTTGTCCTCAAGTTGGAAATCTAGAAAAAACGAGGAATCATGCGTTGTGAACGGACATCCTCCGGGGTCAAAGACCTTAATGAATGGAGCATCAAAAGAATTGGTCAAGCTTAAAGCATTCACAACTCCAAGCAAACAACCCCATAGAACCAATAAGAAGAAAATCCTGCCAGCATGCGTGACATCCCCTGAATCATAAAGGACAACAACGTCACTTTCTGAAGTCCCAATGGTTTCCGTGCATCCATAAAAAATGACACCATCTCTAGAATATTCGGCTTGGACAGTGTGGTCTCGTTGATCGTCACCAGAAACATTAATAACAATATCAGTAACGGTAACAGAAACAACATCTATGAGATCAATAATTAGATCATCATCGGGAACACTAACAGGATCAATAAAAATTTCTTTTTCAAATTCCTGGTCCTGCAAAGTTGTGTTCGGCACAGGTACAGTAGGGCCCGAATCTCGTGGAGTGTTGATGAGTTTCTTAATAGAGCGCATCATGGTTATTTTGAAAATGTATAACTCTATATGAATCAGGCTTGGCATAATTGGGAGACCACGAACTAAATCTTGTATTGAGCAAAAGGCCTCTACGGAGAACGCATATACCTCAGAATCAAATTTTGGTTGACCTTCAATTGGACGTAATGCTTGAAGTTTCTTTATAATTTCATCCACAGAATCTTTAACTACACATACTCCTTATAAAATTCAATTTGTCCCCGTAAAACTTTCTCGAGTAAACCAAGAATTTTGTCTAACTCATCGTTCATCATTGTTAGAAAGTTTACCTCGTGTATGCTAGACATGTTGCCGCCCCTAGAATTTGCAGCAATTTCGCAGGTTCAAAATTGGTCAATCAACAACAATTTTTTTTGTGCTCCAAGCAGACTGTTGTTATAGGGATTTTTTTTGTTTTGAAGTGTAGATGCTTGATCTCAAATAAACATGCAATATGGAATCACAATGATTAGTAGAACCCCAAACCTCAATACTTTGGATCTGCAGCAATCGTTGGAAGGATCAGGATTGGTAGATTCGGAATTGATATTTGTGGCCGATTTTTTTTGTATAATTTTTTTTGAATGAGTTCAAGAATGAGAGCACCAATTGATATGGTATCGTATCGGGATAGGGAAGGATTTCGAGCACCGCTCCAAGAACAAAAGAGGCAAGGAAGAGAGAAAGATTAGGGTTTAGGAGAAAGTATTTTCTTTATTCATTGATTGATAAAACTATGGTGATGGATACATTTATAGACTCTAACTCTAGAGAATCTCAATAATAAATGGTAACTAAATAATTAAAAATCATAATTATAAAAGGTAACTAAATACACTAGGAAGCTAAGTAATCACCTAACAAATATATTATTCCCTAATAATAGTTAACTAACTATAAATAATTCCTTACCATAATAATAATAATAATAATAATAATAAAGTCCCGTAACAGGCTAAAACGTCATACAACAACGGGAGAACTCTGAAGCTAATTAGCAAGGGAAATATCAAACGCTATATAGCGCTGGGAAATCACACCACAATTGGCATCAGATTTAGCCCTCTCCAACTAGCATCGGACTTCCCTTGCTAATAATAAGGCTAAACTCCACCATTAATCATTCAAGTTTTTGCGTGATACACAGTTAGTCTTTCAATTTTATAAAGTCTAAGAATTGTCCTTCAAGTCACGTTAACGTTACACGATTGGTCCTTCCCTTATGTTTTCTGTTAGTCCATGCATTTTTCCTATTTTCCATTATATAAATCAGATGAGAAATCCTCTCTTCTGCATACAATTGAGTCATATTTCATGTAGAACCATTTTAATTGAAATGTTAGATAACAAATTAACTCTAATTGACTACAAAAAGTCAAAACTTGATAAACCCATTAAAATAGAGTGTGTATATTTTTTTAAAAAATGTATCTTTTAGAAAAAAGAACTAATAAAAGTAAGAATAACATATTATTATTAAAACAATGGACCAATAAAAGTAAGAATAACTTCTTATTATTAAAAAAGATTTATATTAAATATTTTTCAATTGTATGAATAAGGGAGGGTTCCTCACATGTATTTATAATCGAAAATTGGAAAAAATACATGAGCAAACGGAAAAATTAACGGAAGGACCAACCGCGCAACGTTAATGTGACTTGAAGGACCATTCGTGAATTTTATAAATTTGAAAGACTAACCGTACATGACGCAAAAACTTGAGGGATCAACAATGGATTTTAGCCTAATAATAACTTTACGTCCAAAAGGATGGCATGGGATTTTATCCCCGCAAAAAACACCAATTTTAGTAGTGTGAAAGACTAAAAAATGTTAAAAGATAAGGTTTCCAACCATCAGAAAACAAGGATATTAGACTGTTTTCATTAAATATGACTTTTTTAAGATAAAAATATGTCAAGAAATTACATTCTTTTTAAAAGACTAGTATGATTAAGTTACTCGTATTTGTTATGGGAAAAACAATCATTCAGCTTCAAAAGTCAACTTTCTTTCCCACGAAAATATATTATTATACGGGTCAATACATCACTTGTTTCGGAACACATTAATGTGCATTTATTAGGTATGGGTTTCCCACAAAATATGGACGTGGTTCATCGATTTTTCCCATATGATATAACTACCATCAGGTATGCTTTGTTTTTCAGCAATTTTTTAAAATTTTGTAAAACCAAAGCATATACTCGCATCCACAATCCCTTACCCATTTTTATTAAAAAATCACTTTTACCCCTTACTTTTTCAAACCCTACCTATTACATCATACCTTTTTCCTAATAATCTCTACATTACATCATACTTTTACACATCACATCAAAGGTATTTTTGGAAAGTCAATACAAAATTATCCCTCATTTAATTTCTACTTTAGTCAAAACGTACCCATCTTTATGGGACGGAGGGAGTATTATTCTATTCTGAAAACAAAAATCTTTGGTGTACACTATTTATATACTAATGTGTTACACACAGACAATAATTACTCCTTCCGTCCCAAAATATTCACAACATTTGCTTTTTCAGCAGTCGCGGGAAATTTTGTTTATTTCTAAGTTT